GCCTCCTCCCTCCCTCCTCCCTCGTGCAGCCTACCTTCTCCATCGTGTGTCTGAGTGTCTCCCCCTCCTCCCTCCTCCCTCCCTCCTCCCTCGTGCAGCCTACCTTCTCCATCGTGTGTCTGAGTGTCTCCCCCTCCTCCCTCCCTCCCTCCTCCCTCGTGCAGCCTACCTTCTCCATCGTGTGTCTGAGTGTCTCCCCCTCCTCCCTCCCTCCCTCCTCCCTCGTGCAGCCTACCTTCTCCATCGTGTGTCTGAGTGTCTCCCCCTCCTCCTCCCTCCCTCCTCCCTCGTGCAGCCTACCTTCTCCATCGTGTGTCTGAGTGTCTCCCCCTCCTCCCTCCTCCCTCCCTCCTCCCTCGTGCAGCCTACCTTCTCCATCGTGTGTCTGAGTGTCTCCCCCTCCTCCAGCACGTGGCGTATGAGCAGCGTGGCGAGCGAGGTGAAGCCGGTGAAGGCAGACGCCTCGGTGAGCTGCAGCAGCAGCCGCGGCCCGCCCATCGACGCGAACACCTTCGCGAGCGCGCGCTCCCGCGTCAGACGCAGGCACAGACGCATCACCGCGTGCAGCGTGTCCGGCTCCGGGGGAACGCTGATGAGACCCACGCACGCCCTGTGGGACGGACAGACGGAGAGAGAGGTACACGCGTTACGATGACGTCATAGAAACACGTGTACACGGGGTTATGGTGACGTCACACAGATGTACACGCGTTACGATGACGTGATAGAAACACACGTGCACACGGGGTTATAGTGACGTCACACAGATGTACACACTAATGATATCACAGACACGTACACACGTTACAGTGACATCACACACACACATATATATATATATATATATATATATATAATATTTGTATTAATAAACTGACTGATTGATTAATTGATTTATCTATTTATTAATTATTAATCCTTTGTTTCTCTGCTGTCTGTGCATGAGTAGTAGATACCTCGTGATTCCTAGCTTCTGAGCTGACGACAGACCTTGAACGACCTTCCTCGCAGCGATCTTGCTCTCCTCATCAGTCTCCATAGCAGCATCTGTATCAAACACATCATATATCATATATATCAGTCAGCACACACGCTTGTCAGTACGACTCGCACAGCTAGACATCAAGCCTGTGGTTAGCTACGAGGGAAAAAGGAGGAGAAGGATACGGGGAGGAGCCAAGGAGGAGTGTATGGAAGGGGGAATAGGAAGGTGTGGGAGGAGAGGAAGAGAAGGTAATAGGAGGAAAAAGAGGAAGGTATGTGAGGAGGAAGAGAAGAGAATAGGAGGGGGTGGGTATGAGAGAGACAAGAATGGGAGATGGGAATTGGAGGAGGAGGGGGTAGTGAGAGGGGGAGGAAGAGTAGAAGGACATGGGAAGGGGAAGAGGAGGAGGAGGGTATGGGAGGGTAAAGAGAAGGAGGGTAGGGGAGAGGCAGGAATAGGATAAGGTAAAGGACAGAGAAGGAAGAGGATGAGAAAGAGGAGCAGGGTGAGGAAAGCGAAGAAGGGTGAGGAAAGAGAAGAAGGGTGAGGAAAGAGAAGAAGGGTGAGGAAAGAGAAGAAGGGTGAGGAAAGCGAAGAAGGGTGAAGAAAGAAGAGCAGGTTAAGAAAGAGAAGCAGGTTAAGAAAGAGAAGAAGTTTGAAGAAAGAAAGGTGAAGAAAGAGGGTGAGAAAAGAGAAGAAGGACGAGGAAGAAAGGATGAGGAAGAGACGAAGGGTGAGGAAAGAGAAGAAGGGTGAGGAA